CAAGCCATCTTGACCGAACAAGCTTGGTCAATAAGGAATTTATTATATGCCTTTCGGAGAAATTTTTCTTGCGGGACACGGCGGGTAGTCCCGACCGGGCAAGATAGCTCCATCTTACCCGCTCGGGTAGCCAATCACAGCGCGGGACTGATTTGATTCATCTTGCCTGCTCGCGGAGCTAGCCGTTTAATAAATTGATATATTGAAAGCGATATACAATGACAACTATAGCTAAGTAAACTAAGACGTGCGTGACTAAATAGCCATAGTAAAAAAAAGTATAGTTCTTCTATTGAAATTTGGTTTGACTGTGATATCAAGATTATTCTTGTGATTTTGTAACACCCACCTCTTTACCATCAATATCTTTGCATATTGTGCCATCAAGAGCTGTATTCATGGCATTCGTAGCCATAGCAGTGAACATTGACAGCATGATCGCTCCCACAAAGATCCAGATTACACCGAACAAGCGTCCGAGGGAGGACTTTGGGATTTTGTCACCGTACCTATTAGATAAAAGTGTTTATGATTTCTTCTGGGTCTTAATTCTGGATATACGGTGAGACAACTCTAACCCAATAAACTTCAATGCGGAAACGTTTTCTAGTAAAATCGTTATAAGGAATAAAAGAGACAATACAAGCAGAAGTGAGAAGATAAATTACCCTACTGTCGTAAGTGAGACCACAGCCCACCAAAACCCCTCAGGTGAGCCGGCTGTAAACGAGGGTGAAAACTGTCTTCTGTTTGTTCTGTGTTCCTGCGTTAAAAAACAACACAAACACGTAACTTTATCACTCAACTCAAACTCAAACATTCCTTATTGACCGCAATTGATTGCTATTAGAAACTGTAAAATAACTGAAATGCTACTGGCGGTTAGGTGTGTTTTGATGAGAGTATGTAGACACGGTTGTGACGTTTAAGATTTGCGCCTATTTTTGAGAATTATTTTATAAAAGCAATGGAGCACTTTTTTTGCGTTAACATAGCCTCATCTAAACACGAGGGGGTTTGGAGAATTCGAGACAGGTATACAAACCCAAGACGCAATCGAGGGTTTGCATAACGTTCAAGAATTTTCCCAACCCCCGCGTGAAATTCTCGAGTGAAATTCTCGAAAGTTATGCAAACCCGAGACGCACTCGAGGGTTTGCATAACTGTCTCGAATTCTTCAAACCCCCTCGTGTTTAGATCGGGCTATGTAAACACAGACAAAGTGCTCTACTGCTTAAGTTTAAGCTCCCATAAAAAAACTGAGACTTGTGACATACAGAGTTTGTAAATAAATTCATGTTCTAATTGATTCCTTACCAATAGCCAGATAACAACTCCAGAAATCCCCGATAACAGTATAATACAAGCTAGGATCGGCCATTGTGACGTAATAGAAGTCAGTAACTGTGCCCGCGACCCTTCCTCACACTGTTTTGTGTTCACAATCAGTGAACACCCAGGTGATACAAATCCTCGGATGAGCGTCACGTTGGCTTCTTCCTTAAGGGCTGCCTTGGCGTCCGCTTGAATGGGAAAAGCAAAATCTACGCTCTTGTTTTTGATCAGCTCCACCATCTCGTCCGAATTTTGAACAAGTCTGCGCTCCATGTTGCATACATGATCCTTAGGTTTGTCTTCATCAAAGCACTCCTTATTTACAAACCAACGTATTTTATCGCACATAAAGCCTCCCGTTGAGCTTGTGTTAATGATGTAAGGTGGAAAGTCTAGCAGAGCGATGGTGTACCCACAGCTGGGCAGATGAGATTGACGGGCATGACGAGTTTGAGCATGTGACCTTGTTCCAGGGGCTTGGCGAGCAACTCGGGATTGGTGAGTTGTATCAGTCTGAAGATTTTCACTTTGGACGAGCCATAACTCGGAGCCAACCAAGAAGCCGATCACTAAGACTAAAGTAACACTATTCATTCTGAATGCTGAGGTTTCTAGCGAGAAGGATCCGAATTCAGCTGTTTAAATTCCAATCTGAAAGGAGGAAATTTGATCAATAATAGGAAAGTATTCATGGAAGATATGATGAGCTTCGTATCAACTGTACTGTAAACACAGTTAACGATTTGGCGTCGACGGTTAACTGATAGATCAAGACTGCAAATAAACCGTGGTCGCTCTACTTTGACCAAGTTAACAACCCCGCAGTGTTCTTTGACAACTGTAAATTAAAGAAAATTGCTTACAAAACATTTATGGTTAGGAAAAGGGGCAAGCTAGACTTTTGACTTTGAGCCTAATGTAAAAAGTAACAGGGTCATAGTCAGGCGTTCGTCAGCGATGAGGCAAGTCGTACGAGTGTCATAGTTGCGAGCTGCCAGGTCGTGGGACACGCCTGCAATGAGAGGTCTCTGAAATCGATATCCTTAGTCCTAAGAAAATTCGTGCGCTGATTGGTTAAAAATCGTGTTTCTATTTAACAATTAGATTATGAGCTCGAGATTTCTGTGAGGTGATAGTTGATTCGGCCTTCGGCCTCATCAACTATCACCTCATAGAAATCGAGAGCGAATAAGCTAATTGTTTTAGTAGGTTTCTTACTAGAATTTTATTTCAAATAACGGTTTCCAATTATTTCTTGACGTATTATTAAACGTTGCATCAGAAAAAGGTCGCTTGGATTGACTTGTCATTTAAAATTGAAGTTGTGTGCACGCGCATCAGTTTTTTCAATAATTTTAACTTTTTTAAAAGTCAAGAAACCGTAAATGTCCTTCGTTTAGACTTCTCGGGATTTTAATTGTCTATTTGCATCAAAATTTTCCTCCAAAACTTCGGAAAAACGTCGCCATTTCCTTGACGACCTCCAGCCACTGCACACTAATGGCTGATAGTGTTCAATGGCTCAGCCGATCAGATTACAGCATTTGCATTGGTATACTAGTAAAATTCTACTAAAACTCGATAGAAACACAGAACTAGCACGAGCTGTTGACGTAATGATGACGCGAGCAGAGAGAATTTACATTTTTATAATCAAAGTTAACAAGTTGTTTTCATTTTTGTTCGTAGCGGTGTTTTCTAAAAGAAATAGAAAACATGTTCTCCGTGTTTCTATCGGGTTACAGAAACACTCTAGAAAGTTTGGAAGGACTCGAAAAAGCTGTGGAAACACTCGCCTGCGGCTCGTGTTCCTATTATACCTCGGCCATTGTCCCATCTTTTAGAAACTTCTAATGTGTACCATGAAGGAAGGGTTGACCAACTTACTGAAAAAATACTTGCATAGGATTATATACACTGTAGATACCTAAGAGACGTTTTATCCATTTGTGTCCGAGACCTACGTTTTACTTTCTTATTTTTTATATTTTTAAGATAGTGGTAGAAAGGTCAGCACTGGTTTCTTGGTCATCAAACTGATCCAAATAAATAGAGCGGCTAAGAGCATTGCCGACAATTTCTTATGAGATTAAGTAGCTATACGAGGTCGATGATTTCTTGAATACATGATTGAATAATAGGCACCGAATTACTCTACCATGCCATAGACAAAAGGCTTGTAAAAGGATGCACTTGGGCAAATGTAACTGAATGCACCCATGTTATAACGATAACAAGCAATGTCGTGGTAGATATTTTTAGGAATAGTTTTTCCAACCACCGAACGACACGCAAGTCGTTCCTAGGGCCAATATATGCAGTTCTTCGTTCTCGCACTCACAACAGGAAAAACAAACGCCTACGGACTTCCCCCCTCCAGTATTTTTCCAGACCATGGACCAAGGACGGTTGTTTTCTACAAATACATCGCAACGGAGTCTCCCTGTCGTTGAGGGAGGCTTATAACGACAAAGTTGACGTAAAGCTTACGGCAATTAATTGAAATCATCGAGAATTATTTCTTGCGAAATCATCGGTAGACAGGAAAAAAAGAATAATAAGATATACCTCGTTAATGATGGGGTTTCTGTTGCTACATCATGCAAAATTCCTGCAAAGGATCACAAAAGCTTGTCAAAGGCTTAGCAACTTCTATTTTCTTAGAACTAGCGGCTTTCATAACGGAAAAATAAAGCCTGACTTGTGCTTTGCCTGCCTTCTAAAAGACTTCAATTATTCATTAAGTTAAAGAACGGATGTCGCATGCCATCAATATTCTATAAGGTATGGATCACTTATTGCCCTGCCATGCATTACCTTTAAAGTTGTTAGTTTATGTTCGTGATCGTCAAAATGATGATTCGAAGAAGCGGTGTTTTGAAATTTCGCCTGAAAATTTTCTAACATGTAGGCTGATCGGCGACGGTGTTCCTCGAAAGGCACGGGCGTCGAAAAGGTCACATCATTAGCATAGAAGTCATTTAAATTTACAATTGAGGTAAAATGCCATGATGGCAATTAAAGGGAAAGAGTCTACTCCATCATGCGGTGACTGGATAAAGGAGAAACAGCAGGGAAATGAAAAGGTTATTGTCTTGGCGCAAGCAATCGAGGCACCTTATTATAATTATTATTAACACAGATACAAACCAACAGCCTGGTATTTAGCATGCAAGAAAAAAAATTGTCTGGAACATCAATAACCCTGTCCGTATTAATTTACATAACCTGGTTTAATTATTTTCCAGTTCTCTGGCATCATAATATTTACAAAGCTCTCGCCAGTTCACCTAGGCCACAATATCCTATTTTTTCGTTAAAAACAAAGGAAAGCCATGCATGGTCATCTGAAAATCACTGTTTACAAACGCTTTATTACTCAGCAAAACAGAATAAGCTTTTGAAAGTGAAGAATGATCATCGCAGTAAATTTTCCAATTTAAGCAACTGGAAAGAAGAAGCCTGAAAAAATCAGGGCTTCAACGGGATTCGAACC